CAATACAACTTTGCACTACACTGAATCTCCACAGTCACTTTAACTTTAACATACGCTATTAATCACAACGATTCACGCACTTTACTTACGGTCACTACCGCACTTGACTCAATTGTCCGTCTCTGCCTGTCTGCAATTCAATTCCGATTAATTATCTCGCTTTATTTGCCTGCTTATATACAGGAATAGATGACTCGTAGAAAAGACTAGAGTTGCCAGGAAGAAATATGATCCTCCTAGAAACTCAGCGTCGCGTGACTTCTGCTGTTGTAACAGTACGTATAAAAAACTATGAACAGTAACAATCACATAATTCTTCATGGTACGTACAGAAAACTATGAACTGTAACAATCACATAATCAACATCGACTGGACACTTTGTCAGGAACTCAACCCCCTCCACCCATCCACACATTTCCAGAATATTCCATGTAAGAATCGATTGATATTGTGGTGTGTCGGGTTATCGTTTGTGCTCTATAAATGTAGACATATCGTCTTAACATGATCAGTCTTGAACTCATTGGTGGGCTTGAAAGGGTTCCACTGTAACAGGGATATTATTATCAAAGATCATTCTTTCTCTGGCTGTTCGAAGACACATTTTCATTGTAGTCAATGAACAGTGGAAACTGAAAAATAAACGTATGCCATTATTAAAAACTGTAATCACTAGCTACTGGTGACTGTTGGAATCTGAGCAGCATATAAACTACATTTGACCTCAGACTTTGTCTTGGTCAATGCTTAACTATCCCTAACCGTAACATTAAAATAATATTGACAAAAGATAACACATTGTAGCCGAAAATCCATCCAAAGTTATTTATCTCAGGTGAAAATATGATGGATTGGCTTCAATTATGCTTAGAGTGAAAACTACGCACAATATACATGTAAATAAGGTTGATTTTTTTAATTTGTCATCTTATGCTGTATAGGGTACTAACTAGGGACAGAAGCAAGAACCACTATACACATATTGTTGATGCCATAGGCTTTGACAATAAATCGTCATGCCACAGCATATTCTTTACTTTTGTTCATAACTTGTCCATGATGTTTTCTAAATTAATATTCGAGTCTTGAAGCATACCCCAGGAACAAATGAGACCTATAGTAAACAAACTTGGCAGTTAAAATATCATTGCGTATCTTTAAAATAAGATATATAAAGGTGAAAAACTTATTTCAATTAACTAAAACAATAAAAGTACATTATTTGGAACAACTAATTAGGTATTTATTTTCTGACAAGGTTCTGAGCTATAAAATGAGATAAAATTGGTTTTTCAATCAATTAGGCCTAATAATCCACCGAAGGTTTAGCTTTCGAAAAAAAAATGAAAGTTCATTACGTGATGATTTGTTTGAAGTTAAGCACAAAGTTACACAATGGGTTATCTGTACACTGCCCACCATGGGTATCGAAACCCAGTTTCTAGCATTGGAAGTCCGCAGACATTCCGCTGTGCCACTTGGGGACATATTACGTGATGAAAGAGCATGGTGAATGTATAGTTTATGCAAAATCCACACGCTTATAATCAGAATATTTAAACGTTTTAACGATGATTTATGCTCGAATTCGCCTATAGCCAGTATTTGACAATCATTATAGCTTAGCTAGTTGAATGGGTTATTTGGTAAATTGAAAATATAAGTAAGATTTGCCACATTACTGGCTGTTGTTCATACGCACATAGATTCTTTTCGTCGTACTAGAGTTGTTGATACATCCTTGTCTTTAGTTCATAACTGATTGTATGAAGCACAAAATGGTCCATTATTTTATTTTTAAAAGTTAAATGATCCAAACTGTTTTACAAGTACGTTCTGCTATCATAATCTACTTTTTCGTTTTGAATTTCTCAAGCTTTTTATTCACAAATTCAAAGTTCAAGACGACCGAGTTCGAGTGTATTACCGATGTAGTGGCAGTTTCCATTGTTTTATTACTAGGATATAGTTTATAGTTGCTTTACATTATTGTTTTCAATTTATTGTTGCTCATATATATATATATAATTAATACTTAAACAGTCAAGCAAAATATAATCAAAAGGAATGACTGCAGTAAAAACAACAAATCCAAACCCGTGATAAATGACATTTAAATGAACAAAACAAGCCCAAGCAACAAAAAACAAATATGAATTGAAGATGCTGCATAAATTAAACGGATCCTGGGGGTACATGCTATAATGTGGTATATAAAATGTGCCCTGGGTTTTGGAAGTGACTGCGGAAGTAGGACCCACATTGCGGTGGGGATACACCGTCTATCAGTCAGCCTCCGTTCGCCCGTCTCACATAAATTCTATGAATTTCTTCCTGTGAGTTTGGCGAACGGAGGTTAAGACTGATAGACAATTTCTATTTGTTAATTCTGGCTGATAGCGATTTTTATTCAAGACGTGTTTATCATAATACCGGAATGTTTTCATCGCTTTCGCTTGTAGCCTTTGAACTGCTTTCGCACAACACTGAAGATAATATCCTACCTTTCCAGCCAGCCGACAGACTAAGGACAATCCTTTTAGAGATTTGTCAACTATGTTGTTCATATGTGAAAAACCTCAAATTGAACGGAGTTTTGTTCTGAATGATAGTAGAGTAATCAGTTTGATATTTATTTCTTATATCTAATTAAACTTTCAAGTAGTTTGCTTGAAAATAATTCAGCTAATGTAGCTTTTTAATCTATTTCTACAGAAGGACATTCAGCTATTCAATAACTCAGTTGTTACGGGAGACACTATTACATTTGATCCAGTGGATCCATTGCATTCTGGAGTGTACAAGTGTAAAGCCGAGAACGAGCTCGGAATTGATACTGGAAGTATAACATTGAAAGTGTTATCAGGTATTATATAAGTTAATAATTATTATATATTACGTAGAAAAGTACACATAAACGTGACTGTATTTCGCTATGCTTAGTTGTTGTTGAATATACAAACTGTTTAGTGCAAGAGTTATTGTTTAGTTCATTTAGTGATCTAATATTTAATCATTATTTAGTTTTATTTGTTTGTTTGTTTGTTTTTGAATTTCGCGCAAAGCTACACGAGGGCTATCTGCGCTAGCCGTCCCTAATTTAGCAGTGTAAGACTAGAGGGAAGGCAGCTAGTCATCACCACAGACCGCCAACTCTTGGGCTACTCTTTTACCAACGAAAAGTGAGATTGACCGTCACATTATAACGCCCCCACGGCTAAAAGGGCGACCATGTTTGGTGGGATGGAGATTCGAACCCGCGACCCTCAGATTACGAGTCGAGCTCCTTAAACCACCTGGCCATGCCGGGCCGATTTAGTTATATAACAGGAGTGTTAAAGTTAATTATTTTAAAGGCGACTAGACCACCGTGACCCGTTGGATCACCACCATTCAGAGGTTATG